CAGTCTGAATCTACCCAGAATCTACAGGGTGCTCCTGAGAGCTCTGTAGCATTGTATCACTAACTGTTGGAGAAGCTGATACTCGCCAGTACTTTTTTTCCATGTGCTCAGTGCCTGAGAAAATGAACTCATTTGCAATAGTGTAACAAGATGCAGAAAGCTTTTGAGAAGCAAGGGACCTGGCTTCATTCTGTATTTTACGAGCTGACTGCAGGGAGAAGAGTTTTGGAAAGAGCTTTGCAGTAATTACATTAGTTTTTCTTTCTCGTTAATAGTTAAAAATCAAAATTCAGACGTAGGTGTTGCAACAAAGCAGGACCTAGTTTTGTGCCCTTTTTACAGCAAGTAGAAGGAGCCACAGCTGCTGTATTAAAAACAAGCCAATAAAACAGGAAGAAAGATTTTGTGCTTGGCAGTTAAACAAGGTGCTTCTTCCCTGGCAGACCAGGCAAGCGGTAGTAACGCTCCACGCGGTCCTTACCTGATGATCTTCTCCCGGTAAGCTGCTGGGATCATACCGCTTATTTCTGCTAATAGGAAGTGGCGGTTAACAGCAGAAGCTCGTGCTCCCCGGCAGTACGCTGGGGCTGCTGCGGGGCGCTTGGCCCTCACTGTCTTAGAACCATCACTGCAGCCTGACTCTGCTTGGCACTGACTGCTCTGAGTCGGAGACAGGCTTTACAGAAGAGTAGTTAGAGCAGCACCGAGTGTTACACGATTAATCTCTGCTTTTGCCTAAGTCTTCATTTTTTTGGTTAATTTGCCTAAAATATTTGTGTTATTTTTGTAAGTGATCAGGGCTTACAAATTATTATTTTTTTTATGGTAGTTTAAAGACAACTGGAGTTTAATTGTATAATTAAACTGGAAATTGTATAATTAAATGGAAAAAAAAATCATAAAGCCATGAATGAAAGTTTAATGTAACTTTCTTTCTTTTAATTGAAGACAAATAAAAGAACCAAGGGCTCAAACACTTTTTAAAAAGACATCTTCTGTTCCCCGATGTCTTCTCTCGAGCAAAATATACAGCATATATATATAACAAACATAACTACATTCAAGTACCAAACAGAATTTACATTTTCCCAAATAGAGAAAATAATGCACGTGATTCACATACCTTAAACCCAAGCATGCATAAAAAACCACTGCCAATAAATCAGCAGTTGGACATAATTAATCACACTACTGTGTATTATTCTGAAGTATTGACAACATCGTTGGAACGCGTAACACAGCACTTGGGAGTTTTCGGTTTATAATGTTTAACCCTGCTTTAAAGTCCGACTGTTCAGAGACTTACTTGTCTAAGATCTGTTCAAATTTAGGGTTAATGAAAGAAAATCCATCAAATGCAGACTGATCCATGGACTCGATCAGGTTTTTGTCACTGTAAGACAATTTTGGCTTCTCACTCAGAAATTCTCTGTCAAAGTTGTTGTAGTCGCTTGCTGACTTCTGTGTTAAACAGAGAGGGAAGATAGTTTGAGGCAAACTGTGTGATTTCTTCCAGAACAAATTGCTTAAATACAAAAGGTTAGGAAGTTCCTTCTTGAGCTCCCTCCCTCCCTCCCCCCCCCCTTTAGAGAAAAATGTCCTTTTTGCCTATTTTAACAACACTGTAAGATTACAACTGGGCAATTGCTTATTGTTAGTTGAGAACAAACAGCATCAGGTCCCTTTGGAGAAGAACCACCTGGATTTGTGATAATGTTTCATAGAATTGCCCAAAGATTCTCTGTTGACAAAAGCAACGCAGCCCTTAAATGTAAGCCCAACATTTCTTGCCATTAACCAAAACTTTTGACTTCCTGAAAGCATTTTACAGCCTGTACTTGTTCAGAGAAAAAAAGTGATGCCCTATTGCAGCTGCTTTGTGCCTGGATAAAATGTTTGTGCATGTTTCACAAAAAGTCACGTTACTAAAGACCATGTTTTACACTCTGAACCTCCAAAGGTTACTGTTCGTAGGATCCTTACGCTTCCAGAGTTCCCATTTCTATGGGAACGTGCAACATGAAGCCTTCTGTTCTTGAATGGGACAGCTCTCCTCCATCGAGGATGTAAGTACATTTTAAAGAGACTGGGTTACCTCCAGATCCTTTTACCTGTACCAGTACAGGGTGGAGGAAAACTGGTTTGGATTTTTAACGGGGTGAGATGAAGCAGCAGCATCCCATGGTGCTACAGACTGTAAGTAACGCGCTGCCTGTTCTTTAGATGTTTTTTCAGGTAACATCAGCATGTGTGTTACAAATAGTTCTAAGTCCAGTAGTATAGAGAATGCATCTTTTTGCCCACTTGGAGGCTCTCGGATGAGTTTGAAACAGCACGTATTTAATGCTTGTACAGAATGCCTGCAGGCAGATACCAACTCAGTAGCCTCAACTTATTGGTCCTTCTCCCATGTGGCATTACAGAAGAGAAAAATGCAAGAAACTATCAACCTTTCTAACATCAAGGAGAATGGATATCAGAACTATCAGTTGATTTTCCTGGAGATTATATTAGTAAAGAAGCTCCTGAGAGAGTATAGGAAGACAGTCTTGATTGATAGGAAGATTTCAGGACAGTCAGATGAATATAGTGCACCTTTTTATAACCGAACCATCCAAGAACAATGGGGTTTGAGATACATAACGATCTCATTTATAAAATGTGAGGAGAAACTTGCAGTAGGATAGTTTGAGCAAGTTAGAGAAATCGCCCCTTACCCCTAGGCTGACATGTGCAATACTGCTACAGAATAAAGAATAACCCCCGTACCACTTTTGGCCTGAAAGGAGGGTCTACCTCCCTCTTCTCTAGCGCCGTCCAGTTGATGGTTTTGAAGAAAGGATGGTCTCTGATATTCCCAGTGACCCCAAGTCGTCTTGTTGGATCCCTTTCAAATAGCTGCAAGAGAAGATAAAGCCTTACGTCTGCTCAAAAGGTAGGTGGCACTGGAAGAATAATGGGTATACTGCTAAACGAACAAAAGTTGCTTACAGTAAACAGAGCGTTAGTAAGTAAGCTGACCTGGCTTTCCATTTGTAAAAGTAATTTGCTTGCTGATAAACAGCTCCTTTTAAAAGCCTAGATTTGTCCCTCCCTGGACAAAGACAGTACCAATGACCCATTCGTTGATCATCACTCCCACCTTTTCTAATATATCTTTTGATTCCTTGGTAATCCAGCGTGGGTAGTGAGGGATGTCCACTCGGATTGACTCAAACAATTCATCTTCATCATCCCCGTGGAAAGGGGATTGTCCGATAAGCATCTCATACAGCAGGACCCCAAATGACCACCAGTCCACAGAGAATGTGTACCGCAAACCTTGCAGGATCTTGTTCCACAGAAGTGCGGAGGAAGAAATACAAGTAATTAGTAAAAGGCAGCAATATATACCAAAAAACAGAAGAGGGGTTTTAAGAGAGAATCTTTAATAACTAGGATATTTTTTTGGGGGAAAAATCCAGCTATTTGACAAATTGTTGACACGGATGCACATCTGTAGTTTTATCCTTGGCTGCTGTTTGTGAAAAGGTGGACAGGTCTTTGCTCTCAATTCAGAAGTTTTCTCCGTTAACTTTAAATAACCATCTACTTGGAAAACATCTTCTCTAGATTCTTTACAAGATGAAGGGAGAAGCAAGTAGCAATGAAAAGTCGATCACTACTCAAACAGACTTTGACATCATTTATAGCTTTAACAGCTACCTACCTTATTTGGACTACTTGGCAAATCAGATTTAAAAAAAACAACTACGAATGCAGGGAATTTAACTTAGTGAGATTCCCCTTCGAAGCTGCTTTTGCTTTGTATTTTGGTTGTTTGCATGGGCACAAGTCTGTTCACCATCTGCAGTGCGCATAGATTGATTTTGCGGGAGCCCCGTGTGTATGCTAGCTGTAAGGCATAAGGGAAAACTAGCTCTTCAAAAACTGAACATTTTAGCATTCCAAAAACGTGTTTTTTTTAAACTTGCAGCTATAGAATATTTGCAAGTCTCAAGTACTATCTACAGAGAACTCAGATTTAATGTTTTTTTTCTGTGCTAATTAGACTTTTACATTTCTGAACTATTAGTCTACAAAGGGATGATTAATCACAATGGCCATTCTAACATCAGTGTCTTAAATCCATCCCAGCGGTATGTGGCAGTGACATACTGACCTCCGGAGCAATGTAGTCTGGGGTCCCGCAGAAAGTGCTTGCTTTGTTCTCGCCAACAACATTTTCTTTGCACATTCCAAAATCGGCTATTTTGATGTGGCCTTCTTTATCAAGCATCACATTGTCCAGTTTTAGGTCTCTGCAAAAAGTGTTTAAAAAAAGAGTTACGTTTTAAGGACCAATGAGTCATTTTTGTATTCAGATGCATGCAGTTTCTTCACTGATAAACACCTACCCTACATCATACAAAGAGGCTTTTCAAGAAAATCATCATCCGTCAACACAATACATACAAAACAGTATTTTTGTACTTCGAAGGCGGTAGGGAGAAAGGAAGAATTCTCCCTTGTCAGAGTAAGTAAGAGGCTGAGGTGTATATATGGTGTGTGACCTTATAATCCTCGACATTTGCTTTCAGGTGGAAAAGCACACCCAGTGCTTCTGGAAGGAGGCATGAGTTAATGCCCCACCAGCTGACATGGTGCTACACCAACTCCGTAGCTCAAAAGAAGGATTGTTGGATTCCTAGAATGTTTGGCAGGAGCATGAATGTTTGAAGCCTGCCCGATATTTATACTACCTGTGACTTGTTCCTAGTTACAGCACAAGGGCGTTCATGTGTTGTGGCCACGGTCTGTGAAGTGTCCTATTCATGTCTTTTTTCAGAATAACACTATTCAATCAAGAATAAGAGCTTTTTAACAGCATTTTCCAAAAGCTACATTCCCTCCCTTTGTGATGCATTTTTTGTCCATCTGGCTGCAGAAGCACATACCAAGGAGGGCAGGCTGAAGAGAAACTGAACAGCCCTTCTGCTACCAAGACAGACTTGAATAGAGCAGATAATTTTACATGAGAACAGGGCAGTCTTTTCTCCTGGTAACTTAAGTTCCCGGTATCAGCTACTTACACTGCTCAGACAGCAAGCTGCAGCTCGAACCAAGAGTCCCTGATCTAACGCAACGCACCATAAATCCTTCCATGTTTGGACATCAGCTGCTGTTCACCTGAGTAAATTGAATATATTTGAGACGGGGAAAACTCATTGTAACTTAAGGCACTGCACTTACCTAGCTACAAGTTCTAAAATCTTTTGTATGGATGTGAACTCACATGCAGCACCTACCTAAAACTGCTTCAGTCAGGTTCTGTGATTATACTGGTAAACATCCTGTGTGAGACAGGGAAAAAGAAGTGCCTTTGGTTTTGCTGGTGTCTTGTTGGGAAATGGTACTGTTTCTCTGAAAATATTTCATACTATGAAATATTCCAGGAACATTCTAATTTAACATAGGGAAATTTAACAGCAAGCCTAAAAATGCTCTAGAAAATCTGGGATGGAACGATTTCATGCCAACATATCCTGGAGGCTGAGCCTTTCCGGTATAAAAACCTGCAGGAGGCAATGGGAATACAGTTGGGTACATTAAGTACCTTCCTGGGTAACGGCTGTCCTCTTGGAGAGGCAGGTAGGCTTGTAAGAATCATCTTTTTTCACCAAGGGGGATTCCTGTAATGTTCATCCTCTTTACAAACACTTCTTTACCAGCCTCTAACTTCAGAAAATTGCTTTAAAGGATGGATGTTCCAACAGATGCTTCCTGTTTCTATAAGGGAGATGGACAATACCAGATGTTTTGGCGCACATTCACCTAAGGCCTTGTGTAACTTGCTCTCAAGCACACGGCTGTTATTCTTTGTACCTGTTCGTTACAGAGGTAAGAGCTACCTGAGCAAGTAGTTACCAAATGGTGCTCTGAAGCTGGGGGTGGGGTGAAAAGGCTGGAGAAAGGAAATTGAGAGAAAAACTACATTAAAATAAACTTCTGATCTCTTGTAGTGTGGGTATTTACAGTAAGAAGCAGCTGCTCAGGAACTGGCCCCTGACATTTCAACCTGGTGAGGCAGAAGCATCAATATTGTGGTTTCAAGGGAAGGCAAAAGCAGATGACTTTCACCTGAGTGGTCTTCACAAGGCCAGTAGGAATCAATAGCCTCAAGGATCCCTCTCCCTTGCCTCCAAACGAAATAGACTTGTGATCTGAAGGCAGTGTTTAAAAATAAGTGAAACAAAACCTCTTTTGTGTAACATAAGTAACGTTCCATCATTCTGGTTGCTGAGGAAAAGACAGACAGATATAGATTCATCTCAGGCATGTTAATGTCCTTGGAATAACATCAGATCTCTGACAGACAGCTTTTACTTGTTACATCAATCAGTAATTCAGAGATGCATGAAGTGCTAAGACAATTCACAGGTCCCACACTGGAGCTAGTTGGTACTCACCTATAAATAATGCCTTTGCTGTGAAGAAACTGTAGCCCACATAAAATTTCAGCTCCATAAAACCTGAAAAGACAAAAACATCTTTTAATCTGTCTTGCTCAGTTAAAACATAGTCAATGCAGCTGGCCAAAAGATCTTCATGGAGTGAGAAGTATTGTATGCTTCTTTAAATACTAATATACCTGTATTTATGTAGCTGCATGCTGTAATCTTCAAGTTAATCCCTTCACCACACATCTGTGTTATCTAATGCCAAACAGCAGAGGGGACAGCAACTTGCCTTAATGCTTCATTCCACTTCCATTAAGGGAACATTGTCCCTTTTCTACTTTTTAATAGTCTTTGGATATATTTACAGAGATATGCACATGCCTTTTGAAAGATGGCTACTGGGAGCTCAATACTCACAGGGTTGCTTTAGAGAGAGACTGGGCACTAATGGCTAAGTTAGAAATGGACCTCCTTCGGCAGCTGCCCAGTTGCAGCAGACAGACTGAAAAGTAGCATTGCTTCAGGGGCACTCTTCTCAAAAAGGATGTGATAATCCAGAGGATATGAAGGGGAAAAAAAAAAGAATGCTTTTCTCTACCCCCGGAAATATATTAAAAGTTTGGTGGTGGTTTTTTTTTTTTAATTAAACAAATACAAAACTATTTCCACTTCTGTACAGCAGAATGAACGTTGACCCAAAAACTTCAAATAGGTACAGAGGATGCCAGGAGAGGCTGCCAGATGCACAGATGTTTGCTGAAATGCAGGTAAGCTGGAGGGGCTTTGTCCAGATTTTTGCCGGGGAGAGTGGGAATAGAGCTTGCCGTGACCCATAAGGGTACTATCATGTCAACTTAGCAATACTAGTAAATAGTATAAGTTTTGGTTGTTTTTTTTCTCCCCGTGCTGTTTTCCAATTTTTCCATCAAAATACTGTCCTAAAGGACACTGAAACTGTACCTTTTGCTTTTCAGTGCTGGCTTATATTGCAATTCACCTAGCATCTCTAGGTACAAGCATCCCTTAAAGTAAAACATCGCACTGCTACGTAATTTCAGAAAACCTAACTCCACACATCATTAAGTGAGCTGCTTCATTGTATCAAACCAGTGTCTAGAAATAAATTTTCAATCGTCTGCCACTGAACCTTGAGTGAAAGACTGCAGGTAAGTGGTGCAGAACTAGAAGCAGCAAAAACGACAGAGACGAATATCATTCATGGAGATAGGGACTGAAGGGGTGTGGACTTACGTTGCTCTGTAGAGATCAAAACGCCCCTTGTCTTGTATGTGGAACATCAGGTCTCCTCCATTCAGGAACTCCATAACGAAGAACAGATGATCCTGTTTGCAAATAACCAGAGAATGGAAAAATTACTGATGCTATTGCAACCGCATGTGAAGTAGCGACGCGGCTACTTGGGGACCAAGCAGCCACTTTCCTCCTCTCCTGAAGTATTTCTCTATTTCATGCACCCCTAAGACTGTATGAGGCTCCTACAGATTTGAGTAGCCTGGTCTTGTATTGTAAAGCTAAATAGCTGATCTTGTATTCTGTGGATTTCTAGACTTAGTAAAAATATACATTTAAATAGACTTAACTGACTTCTACCTGAGACAGTCATCTTTTTTCCCCTCACTGAGGGTAAAGCTAAGATCAAGGATTTAAATTAAACTGCCTCTTATTCCAGATTGCACAGATGTTTGTCTGATCTCGTTCTGTTCTCATCAACGTATGTGGGGGTCATACTCATTATTTAGTTTCCACAAGGCCTGTGAACTATTGCACAGAGCACAAGAAAAGAAAATTTAATTCTTGCATCACTAAGTTACTTTCACTTGACTGTTGGTAACAGCATCCATTAAAAAGCTAAATCTGTTGTGTTGCTGTTGCCATTGGGCTTTTTCCTACCTTTGTCTGAAACGTGCAGTAAAGATGCGTGAGAAATGGATTTTCCCATGCAAGTGCGAGGACCCGCTTTTCCACCATGGTACATTCCACATCATCATCAATTAGCACCACATCTTTTTTCAGAGCTTTGATAGCAAAGAATTCGTTCTTCCCTTTCAGCTCAGCAAGCAGAACCTACAAAAATAAAAGATGAGATTACAGCACGTGTAGGAAAGAAAGACTGTTGCTGATGGTATCAGTAAGGGAAAGTCAAAGGTGTTTATAGCAGGTGCAATGACAATTAAAAAGCACTTAAATGGGAAAGATGAGTGAGATTTGGGAAGGTGAAGTTGCTGGGCATAGAGATGAGGAGATGTGGCTCAAGGACCATGTAACACAGGCACAGCAGCTTCCAGGGCAGTTTTTCTGTCAATGATGTCTTGTGAGTGTATAAACAGAAGACATGTAAAGCCTGTTCCTTCATTAGAGCTGTAGTTTCAGAGACAACAGTGGACAGAATCTGTGGAGGTCATGCTGCTCTCCCACATCTTCCCCTGCCATCGCACTGGAGCATTATGAGGCTGTTTGTTTCTATACAGGGTGTAGGAACATAAAACATCCTTTTGCACTGTGGTGCATAAAGGGCAATGCTTCTGCCTCGATACTAAATAATTGAAAAACTTGTGCATTATGAATCACTTTTGAGTTTAGACAAGATTCAGGCGATTAATTCCTAGTGTCTTTGACAAAGATGGCTATATTCAATTCTGTTAAAAGATTATCTACCCGAGCAGCTGTAGTAGTAAGAAACACCTTTCTGGTTAGTGGAAATAGCCCATCACGTTGCAGAGATCAAACAAGGCAGTCACCTTAAGCTCCGTAAGTTTGTTACATACCTTTCCAAAACTTCCTTTCCCTAGTACTTTATGGAAGACAAAGCTGTCTATGTTGAATTTTCTCCTGATTGCAATTCGTGACGCTGTCCTGGCTGTGCTTCCCTCCCAGAGTTTATCGTACTCGCTGTTATCTGCTAATTGAAACAGGGAGTTTAAAGTTCAATGTATGCAGAAATACTGCATGACTCAGATCCCCCGCTAGGAATTAAGTACTGACATGCTATGTCAATGCATCTGCTGCTGGAATACTGGCAAATCTAAACATGAGGGTCAACTCCTGTAGTTTATAACAAAGTTGTTTAAATTCCGCAAGCATACTTGGTAGTGTTGGATTTGAATTGAATCTGTAATTGTTTCTAATGCTGGGTTTAAGCAATACTTAGGCATTATAAAAGTCAAAGGCCCTAACTTCCCCCTTATGATTAAGATACAGAGCAGAACTTGGAGAAAAACATAGTTTACAAGTTTTGCTTGTAAACAAATTATTTTTCTTCTGTTAACAGAACAGGCTAGTCCCTCAGCCTAAGCAGAGAGGCTGTAAAAAGATCTGATTTATGTCCAATGCTGGCCAAGAAGCATGATCATACAGGTTAAGCCTGATTATATCCTAAATAACTGTACTTTTTTTTTTTTTTACCTCCGCTACATAGATCTTCTGGGTCACTAACAAGGCACTGATGATAAACATGAGATGTTACCATGTATGCCCCATAAGCTGCCCAGCATCTGCAATAACCCAGGGAGGAATCAGAGTGGCTGCACCCTGACTTAGTATTAAACCAAACCACCTTTGCAAGAGTTGTTTTTCTCTGTTCTGACAAACCAGAACAAATATGGTAAGTAATATCAAAATAACTTTCTTACTGAGCATTTCAACAGCATTAGCTCAATGTAGGGATGAATAAATAAAATCCTGTACCACTCCCAAACCACCCATTATCTCTTACCGAGCCTGGTGATTTCCATCTGGTAGAAAGTTACCTTCTACTGTTGCATTTATTTTTGCATAAATTATCATAGGTTAGCAGTTATGAAAATAAGCCTTATACAATGCTAGAACTCCTTAGCAATAGTAAAAAAAAAAAAAAAAAAAAAACACCTTACTCTGATAGGACTCCAGGTACTACTTAAACTATTTCAGCTATTCAATCTCAAGCAGCATTTTGGCTACTTACATCCTAAAATAGACAGCACTTGTCATTGGTTTCTAATAGTTTGTGAACAAAACAAGATGATTAACAACGTGCGTGACATTTCAGTTACAGGAGGGAGGGAAGCGTGTTGTACACGTGTGGCTGGTTAGCAAGGCATCCTCCAGTTCCACCATGGAGAACTGTGCTGCAGCGAGCAAAGCAAGCATTTTGCAGAAAGGTGGATGTGCTCGTGGACTAAAAACTACAGGTATTTGTCAAAAGTTATGTAAGCATTTTTGTGTCCAGGAGAAGAAGGTAAAAAGAAATACATGCTTTTTTTTTTTAAACAGTGCTTATTAAAAAAAAATTGTCTAACATAAGGCAAGAAGGAATAACTACTTAAATTGTTATTTTGGGTAGTCTGGTAGGTAAAAGGCTAAATTAAAACACTAGCTTTTCTCACCTGTTGTATCTCCTCCTGGAGCTCTAGGTTTCTTATCAAAATCTTGATAAATACCAACACTTTCTACAGATCCAGAATCGGACCTTCGTGTAGATTTCTGAGGAGGGGAATATTTGAAATTATATTTGCACTATTACTTTAGACATACTTATAACAATAGCTGTTAAATGTAACATGATGGCAGTATAAACTTTTCTTTTTAATTATTAACTCCTAGTACATATCTTTTCTCAAGAAGTATGTTCATAGACTATTTAGCCACATTCTTTACAGCTTCAGATCAACCAATTGCTTCACTTTCTTCACTGCAAGAAAATAAGTCATTGAAATTCCTGAACAGTCTACGTTGTATTGTTCATTGCAAAATTATTAAAGGTATAATGGTTTGAATCCACAGTGGGAAGAATTTAAACTGTGGGAAAATGGCCCCTTAGATATATGTTCATTTGAAACAGGAGATGGGAATCACTGTCATACTGGATATGCTGAAGTCATATCTATGTGTGACATCCGTCTTTAGCACAGGGAACAAATTTTACATACGGAAGATCCCCAAGATCAAATTTCAGTAATGAAAAGATCGAGCTTTTCTGTGTCATGAAAGAGCTGGCACAACAGCTCTCCCTGTTTTCAAAGTAAGTATCCTGTGAAAGCTTAGGAACACTCAGGTCAGAGGAAATACTGTTGGCTTTTGTGATATATTTTCCTGTTTTATTTCAGAGCTTGTGTCTGAATCTTTATTTGCAACTCAGAAGTCAACCACAAGAGACAGCCATGCCGCAGCAGGAGATGAACAACGTAAACTATGGGGCCAGTGTTAATTCCAGAGGAGTTTTCTCTATGTGTGTGTTATACACATATATCAGATAATATATATCAGATTAATAAAAATTGATAATATCTGGTATATTTCTCCTTATTTATTTAATTTTAGCATTCAAGTGGAATTCTAAAGTTGAAGCATGGAAAAACAGACTTCAGCATTATGATACCACTGTTTAAACAATTAAACAGAAAGGGAGAGAATAACCTTGGCACCACAGAAGTTCCTGGATTTCAGGAAACCACACACCTTTTTAAAAATTCTTTGTTAGGTGGGATTCCCCCTCCCCCCCAATTTCAACTTCAGGCTATTGACATCTTTATTAGTCTCTTTACGGGTCAAATTAAAAAGAGAAAGCTGTTTGCATTTCCTCTGTTCCAAACTTAGTTCCCCATAAAAGTGATATGGAAAAAATTAAGTAAAAACCCCAAAATACTCTGAAAACAACTCATTACCTGACAAATGGCAATAAAGCATACCTGGCTAACTTGATTTAAAGCTTCAGCTAGCAACTTCTGGTTTATTCCACATAAGTTTGCCACCTTCTTCTGGCATTTATGATGCACATTCATCCCACATTCTAAAAGAAATGTAAGGACCGTTATACAAGCATGAGGAAAATACTGTCCAACGTTACAACAAAAAAGGCTGTTTCTTTGTGCAGTTCAGAAACCTTGTTATGAGACCAGACTGGACACGGATCTATCATTATTAATAAAATTGCAGTTTTAATCTTTAACTCAATGAAGGCTACAAAAATTGTTCAAAAGGAAGAAAACGCCAATATCATCATTATTCTCAAAATCTGTTAAATAAAGATCATCTTGCCTTTTGTGGGAGAATTCTAAAAATGGTACTTACAGTAAACACTTTACACTTTTAGGCACTACCTTGAGTCAGATGCACCAAATTTCAGCTATTCCTGAAGTAGTAATTTTGATTATACTCAAGATCACACCTCCACAGCATGTTTTCTGACTGCATTAGAAGCTCACTTTGGCTGAGCTGTCACATGAGCCAAGTGCCCATTTGTCTCTCTCTAGTCGAAAAGCTTTTTCAACCACACATGGATGAAATGAATCCCGTTCTATATAACACGTATAGAAATGCAGTGTGTAGCAATAGCTAATCTCTAGTGGGGGGCGGCGGGGGAGAGACTACACTGGAAAAGCATGGAGGGGTCCCAGCTGCCCTCCCTCCTCCTCCGTACCTTCGCATTTGAGTCCTTGTTTGACCAGGCCCCAGAGCAGGCTGCCGCAGTGGTCACAGAAGGTAGGGCTCATGTAGTTGTAAACTTTGAAGCGATGAGGCATGTCAATGTTGAAACGTTCCTTTTGAAACTGAGGACAGGGAGAGGGGTGAGGCACTTTACCCAAAACAGGACTAGCTTCTTCGAGAAAACAGCTTGGATATTACAAAGCTACAACAATTTTATCTTGAATATCCCAGTTTTAACATCCCTCATCTAGCAGGGAAAGAATCTGCCCATCTAATATTACCCACCCCCTTGCAGGGCTTTTAACTACTTTTCTTGTGTTAAAGTTTCATCCACTACACATTACGTTACATGCAATCTTCAAGAGAAGACAGTACCTTGGGCTGAACAGCCAAGAACCTCCCAAATGGACTTGGCCATTTGTATACAAGGTTATGTTAATTCAGGAGTGTTTAATTACATAATTACACTCTGACTATATTGTTCCAGCTCTTACCATTGTGTCCCTGCTGTTGGCTGCAGTACCAGTACACCTCCCAATGATTTTATCAATACATTTCTTATGAATAGCAGCATTGCATTCTTCAAGACATGCACAAGGAAAAAAAAAAGGATTCCTTCAGATAATAAATTCATGGGATGAGGTGTTCGCATTTCATAGCATAATGTGAAAAAACACACTCCTTTCCAGCATACTATATACCAAAACCTTTCTTTTCTATCAATCAAGATTATGATCTTTTTTAAGCTGATTCCCCCCATTTTCTTTTATCATAACCTCTATTTCTAAACTAAATCTGCCTCCACAGGCAATGCCACAGGATTTGATAACAGAAAGACAATATTATGCTTTTGAGTTTTACCCTTTGATATCTCTCCCGCTGTTTGGAGTAATGCACAGAGATCTATACTAAGTCAATAGTGCTTTTCAATTCAGCTGTAAAACCCCTCGATAGTTTTAATTCATTTTAGAAAAGGTGTCACAAAAACTGCTGTCATAAATGAATGCAACTTTGCAACAGCATTACACGCTTATGAGAACAATAGCCAAGCCTAAATCTTGATACTAAAAACTCGGGTAGGAATCATAATTAGACAGCCTTAGGTTATTGTGCAAAACTGATGTTTAACATCTACTACTACCTGTGGTGATGATGCACTGTGCCGTGCATATTTACAGAAGATTTTTCAACAGTAACTATTAGATCTACAGATTCATGTGGAAAGTAGTACAAGAAAAAGGTATAATCAACTTACGCCTACATTTGTATCCCTGCTTGTTGAGTCCCCTGAAAAAATAAATGATAAAGAAGGAAATCAAAACCATACGTTTGCTGGAATAAAAGGTGGTTTGTTTATTTTAACCACGTCAACCAATTGATCCTTTGTCTATGGGAATATTTGTTCCAATTAATAAACTGGTCTAAATTCTGCTATTCAGAATCCTCTGTCTTAGGAAAGCAAGGTTCAGAAGATAAGGTAGTGTGTTTTGATAGACCAGCAAATTAGAAGGGAAACCCAGAAAAGACAAGGTTTCAATCACATAGGACGCTCTCCTAATCTGACTTACAATAACTGCCTTTTATTATGAAAGGGATCCAGCTTCTTGCTCTCTATGGGTCTTTACTCTGCTACCAGCCACTTCACATCTCAAAGTTTGAGCATTATTTTCTCAGATCCACCCATCTCATTCTCTTGTGAAAGAGCTGCTGTTGATCATGGGCCAGATTTCACTTGATGCTGATGGAATTTTTGCCAATTATTTCAGTGGCAAAAATGTTCAAGTTCTATTTTTCAATGTGAAGGAGACAACTATAGTTCCTAGGTATAACAATGCTCTTAGTAAATATGTAGTTTCTGTTTCCCAACACATGAATTTACATGTCATTTTTTGTCTCAATATACCCGAAGTGAATTTTGCAGTTATTTGGCCCTTGGGGGTGGGGGAAGCTTAGTGTTTCCTTCTTACCATACAAAGTCTTTGCAGACAGAGCAAAATGTAGGTTGTCCAAAGAAGGTAGCAATAAATTCATGATTTTTGATGTAGTGGATTTTGGCTTGCTTGATAGCTCCTCTCCTGTTCATAGTTACTGTCCCCTCCTCTTCCCTCATTGACTGTTTGCAGTCTAAGGGGGAGACAAGTAGACACACTTTTAATACTTTAAGGTATTACAAAGATTAATATTTGCTTCTCCAAAAAGTTCCATTTGTTTTTCTGTTTCAGACTTGTGTTTCTATTTATTTTACACCTGCATTCTGCAGACTTGCAGTCCAACAAGTGTGGAACACACACTGCTTCCTAAGGTGTCTCCGTGTCCTTGTTTGCAAGCGCTTCCCTCTCCTGCTCATTCAGAAGAAGCCTTCAGCAAATGAGCTGAGAGGAAGAAGCAGG